TATCAGTCTCATATTAATTTGACTGTTTTCATCATGACAAGTAAATGACAGCAATATTGCCACTCCCACAAGGCACAGGATAAAAAACAGCCTCCAATTAATAGTACAAAAACCACTTATTAATAAAACAAACACACCCAGAGGTACTACTTATTTCAGCAAATATCAACAAAAATACTTCAAAGAAAATACATTTCCTAACAATGCCAATGTTCTTTCTTCACCCTTTCTCTTGTTTATTTTTTGCCATTTCTTTTTCTACTTCTCTTGCCCATCAGTTGAATGTCAAAGTAACGGGCTGGCATTCTCAAAACTTTCAAAACCAAATCTCCATAATTATCTTCTAATTCTTTCAAATTCCCTTAAATTGTAGCAGCAACAGGGATCAGCTTACAGTCACAGGAGAGAGGTTCACAGAATTGTATTTAGAAACCATTCAACATTTTGGAATGAATAGCAAAACAATCCACATGGAGAAAATGTGATAATGGAGCCATAACATGATGGCATCAGGCTCTTAAAATATTTCTCCTCAAAGCTCTATTGTATGCATGATTTACTTTGAGCATAGGGATATCTGGAAGCCACATCAAAGACCTAATGGATAGACATTTTGTTAACATATGTAGAACTGATGCCAGGCTATAAAACAACACTGCACTGAGTATTACACATCTTCAGAAAAGTCTGGTTGTTTTGTGTTGATTTTTTCTTTTCTTGAGGTTGGGGTGGATTTTTGGTCTACAAATTATTTCTTCCGTTATGTGCATGAATGCCTAACAGGCTCAGAAGCCTGGACAATTTTTATGTTCTCTTGTTCCCTGGATCTTTGCCCAGTATCACAAAATCTGAGACAGGGCTGATCTTTGAAACTGGGAAAGCAAGAAGAATGAAAAAATAAATAAGCATCTATATCCTTTGCAGAACAGGTTCTGTTACTTCAATCACAGACTGGTAAAACTCCTCACAATCCATGCTACGTTAGCATCTCTGTTTCTCAGGTCATCCCTAGGACTGCTACTTTCAAAGAGCTGATCAAACATGGCTCTAAGCTACAATGCATTCTTCATTGGTCTTTAATGTCCTTGGTGTTCAAAATGGAGACAATTTTCAAACTGTGCATACTGCAGATATGGCATTCCATAAAACCAGGAGGCCAAAAAAGCTTTGTAGAGTGAATTCCTGGAACAGATCTCCAGGATTCTGAAAAGGCCACTTAAAAGCTCCTCTGTTTCTGCTCTAAAGTATTTATCCTGGATCACAGAATAATGAGCAGCAAATTTATGTACTTTGTAGGGCACTTAGGAAACAGTTTTTCCATCACTTAGTAACTGTAGGATAAGTAAAACAGCGCTGCACACCAAGAAACAGAGTATGAAAAGACACTGAAAGTCAAGACTGCAGAAGAGTTATAACTTTATCCACTTTGATACCTTTTCAGTTAATCACATATTTCGTGGTTCCATGTTTGGCACATTTGGTACATTGAAGCCAGATTAACAACAAACAGCTGCTATTTATAGCATTTCCCCAGAGATGAGAACGGCTGCTGCTGCACTTTAAGACCAATCATGTTACATCTGTATTAAAATGAGAAGACAAACATGTTTTACTGCCAACTCTGCCTGAATTTCAAATGAAAACCACATTAGTTAGCTTGTGAATTTCTCAGTCAGTCAGTCTCCAGTGTGAGCTTACATAGTTTAAATAAAACATCTCATCAACACACAATACAGCACAAAAGGATGCTAGCAGCATGGGCCTAGGTGCAAAAGAGTTCTCAAATACTCCTCCAAGATAAAAGTCAGGAATGGACTGCAAATGTCTCTAACCTGCAATAGTCTGGACCTCAGCAAGTTGTGCTACCATACCTTTGTCATTTCACAAACTCTATGGCTCAGTTGTCAGCAGTCATACAGGCTTAAATATGTTAAATCCCACAACCCACAGGTTTTCTACTCTCACTGCTGTCCTAAGCACCGTGAGAATGGGATCCAAGCTCAGAAAGGTTGCCAGGACATCAAGTCATAGCATGTTTGGTCCCACTGTTTCCTATTTGTTTATATGAAGAAAAGGTGGATCTTGAATTCATTATCTTATAGGCACAGGCTCACCTCCTTTAGGCACCTACAGGTTAATCAGGCCTCAGCAGGCACCAAACAAGGACCTCAACTGCCATGAGGATGGTGGATGTCTCTGCTCTGACCACACACAATCACACCCGCTCTTGGCATATGAGGAGTGTTCTCTGGGGTGAACAGTCCTCTCCTAACTTAGAAGGAATAATACAATTAGAAACAGAACAGAGACATTAGTGAGACACTGAACTTTATTGACAGAATGACAAAATCCATTTATTTTTTCTGTTCAAATGCTTTCTACACCACCTGAAAACTTGATACTGCAGAGTTGCAGCTTGCAGTAGGTTTCACCATGCATTTTTCCTAGCTGGAATGATTGCTTACTGCCTACTGGCCAGCCAAACAGAAAGGATAAAGCAGGAAGGAAAGCTGAAGTATCAGTGGATTAATTTTTCCAAACTACTTGCACATTGGGTACAGAGATGCCTCAAAAAGACACAGGACATGTGCGCTCATGTCACATCATTGCCCTTGAAGATGAACACACCCCTGAGAGCTTGATGCTTCACAAAGCACTAATAACATTTCTTTTCCTGCTTTAGGTTACTTGGAAATGCAAATGTGTTGAAGTTAAGCATAAGTGCTTAAAATAAGGTTTGCAACTCAAACAATTCTGAGTATCCATTTTGATTTCAACATTTCTTGCAGCAGCAATGACTTTCAGAACACTAAGTCTAAAATACAGGAAACTTTTAGGAAAATATATCAAAAAACATATCAACTACTATTTTCCTGTTTTCCTTAACATTTTTTTTCTAGTTTTATCGCCCAATCCACGATTGCTATATGCAAGAATCCACATAAAACACTTGGAAAAATGATTGAAAAAGGAGGAACGGAACTGGATATGCTAAAAAAGTGGTCAAATTTAAAAAACAAACAAACAAAAAAACCAAAAAAACCCCATAGTAAAACAAAAAAGAACCCCTCCAAAAACTCCAAAGAGGTATCAAAAAAAAATTCTCCTTTAACATATCTTAATAATAATATATATTGTTTGTACCATAAACTTGTCAGACATATTATTTCAGTTCATGGATTATTTTTAATAAACATGTTAAAATCTCATGGAAGGAGTCAATGAATTATTGATAAATCAAGCAGTATATTAAATTCTGGTCTATAGATCATCATCTATAGATGAACACAAGTATACCTAAATGTGTAGTTACATCTTGAGCTGAATCACTTTTCACCAGACTTCACACACTTTCTTCAGTGTCCTACAGCAACCCTCATTTTCAACTAGGGGGGTTGCAGGGGTTTAAGTTATAATTTGCTCTAATACCTATGACCAGCTATTTTTCACAGGTTTCAACCTAATTTTAAAGCTTTAGACCTTTTTTAAGAGCAATACCACCTACTGTTGATTTCACACCCAGAGCTGAGATCCAGGTTTGGGTTTTTTCAATTCAAAACTTAAACTGAAATGTTGGCCCATGGAAATGGCACCTTTCTGTTCCCCAGGATTTGTACTGCATTTTGAAACACTTTAGCATAGAGGGCACAGTAAAAATTTGGATCTGCAATGTATTTTATTGCCTAAATAGCGAGATGGTTCCCATTTTTACCAGAGTAACACAATGGAATGAGCATGGAGAAGAACCCATTAAGGCTCCAACAGAAACTGAATACTAAAAAACCTAAACATTCACTTGTTTTATTTTTCTGTTTCTTGGTTACATTTTCAATGTGTGCCCACTACCAGTCGCATTATCATCAGCAGGGGGCTTGTAAATAAGCCTTTACCCAGTGTTTAAGAAAAATGAGCTTGTCAATGGAAGTAGTGGAGAGATCTCAATCCACTTCATTACTTAAAGAAACAGAGCAGGACAGCAAAGAGAAAATCAAGTCCAGGCAAGCACCTTAACATATCTTTGAAGTCTACATTTGAACACTTCATAACCTGAATTGAAATGTCAAATTTTGAAATACATCAAACATAATTCAGGAAAGATAGTCAATTAACTGGTTAGAAGCATTGTTAAAAATGCAGCTGACATAAAATTAAATTAAATGCACCCTAATTAGAAAGTTGGAACACTTAAATTGGTAAATATATGTTTCATGAAACTAGACACACAGGTGATCTTATGTAAACCAATCAACCATCAGGGTAGTTACTCTTTCCCTGCCCAGTAATCAAGCTGCTGAAACTGGACACTCATGCTAACATTGAGGATCTCTAACACCACAAGCCAGAGCTACTGAACTGTCATCTCAGAAAAGATAAGATCTCTTAAACAGTTAAAATCGCTTGCCTGGTTTAAAGGTCAGAGATAGTCATTCTTCTTGCCCATTGAAGCCATAAAAGTACAGTGTTTAAAAAAGCATTGTGGCTCAGTAGGTACTCTAGCAGCAATTTCTAGTGCTGCTGTAACTGAGGTATCATCAACATGTCCACAATAAAACATACTGCCAGAAAAGTAATTCCATGTTTTAAGCTGACACAGAAGGCCTTATACCAGGCACAAGTCCTTCAGCAGCAAGAGTTTGATTTGTATGATATTTAGCTAAGAGGTTGAAAGAAAAGAGAAAGCAAGAAAAAGTCTTACAAATGGAAGTCAACAATGTAGAATTACGTAATATTGAAATAGAATTTGTGGTGCAGACAATTTATTCCAACCACACATACCTGCTAAACATAGCTATGAAACCTGTTACCTGGAAAAGACTAAAAAGCTAAGATGTCTAAAATATAGAAAAGCATGAATATATTCATGAATGAAAAATATAGAAAAGTGTGAATAAAAGATACTTGTTTTAGGGATTTCTTCAAAAGGGCCAGTTTGTTTTTTTGATTGTTTCTTCCATATTGTTAAAGAAAAAATGAGGCATTTTTTGTATATTTTCACCCACCTGCTCTGGGTACTTGCTTCCAACTATCTCTGCCACAGTGTTGAAGGACAGAGAGTCTGGATAAGTCTTAGCTCCCATCCTCAGGTGCACAACAATCTTAGTGCCGCGGAGAGACATTCGTGACATCATTTCAGCATCTTCCACAGTGATGCAGGCAGTGGGAATTTGGGGTACACCAGGCTGGTAACTCTGCTCCCCAGTATGTGGACTGTTAAAAAAACCCAACAAAACACAGTGTTAACAACTTTGCTCTGTAATTTTTTTAGCATTACTGCAGAATTATTAAAAAGAATGACCATCATGACCATCCCTGCCATACTCTCAAAAGGGACATAGCTACAATTTTTAATAAACTTTTTGACAAAATACATCAAGCATTTTTACACTAATCAGAATATCTGACTGTTACTATTTAATGTGTATAGAATTCTATTCATTGTCAGCTCTATTTAGGTCATTGCCATGCTTTGATACCACACTCCATTCACTGCTTTACCAGAAAGAAAAGCAATGAAAAGTCTAAATGAACAGGTTACCATAACGGCATTTTTTTTCCTGTAGCAAGTAATGAAATTAAAATTCACTATTAAATTTTAATGCTATTTTCCAAATAACATATTTGCAGAACAGATGAGGTTGGCAGGAACCTCTGGAGATCATCTGGACCAACCTCCCTGCTTGAGGGGGCCACCCAAAACCAGTTGCCCAGAACCATGCACAATGCATGAAAATCTTCACCTGTGAGCCTTCTCAGAGCAGCAGACACACTTTTTTATACATTTAAACAAACAATAAAAAAATTAAATTGCATTATTTTTGCAATTTAAGTCATCTAAAATGGAAAAAAAACCCTATTCAGTTTCTGGAGGAGGTATGTTAAGTAGGAAAGGAGAAATGTACTTTGTAAGATTATTGATTAAGTAAAATGGGAGAGATTATTCAGTTCTATTTATTGAGAAGAATAATCCCTTCTCAACAATAACAAGTCATATTGTAATCAATAACATAACCTGCAGAGTAGATATGCATAAATATTTATTTCACATGGAAATACTAAAAACTAGTTACAAAGGTCTTACAGGAGCTTCTTCAGAGTTCTGTCTATTAAGTGACAACAGTTCAGGAAATTATTGCTCCCGGTTGTTTACAGCTGAACCTCAATCAAAGGCCAGTGTCTCTTCCCATCAGCTTTGCAGATCAGGTGACCCATGGCTCACCTTTGAAATAACATTTAACCTGAAACTCGGCATTTCCTGTGCCATGTAATATCCCTGAGTGGGATAAAACCATGTAGACTTATAACTTCAGACCCTTTTTTTTCTTTCTTCTTTCTCTTTGTCAGGAAAAAAAAGGCACCCCTCATCCCCACTTTTAAACTGCGATAACTTGCTGCATATGTTTAATATTTCTTTGAGTGTTTGGGGATAAATCCAGAATGTTAACCAAAAGACTTTCCAAACAATATAAAATAAACAGACTAAAAAAAAAAAAAAGAAAAAGAGAGATGACAGTTTCATGTACTAACGTTTAAAATCCCCAAACCCTACACTCAACAACTGAGCAGAAGCTGTTTGTTTCTGGTAATTTTAAGTGAATGTTCTTGCCTGTGTCTACTGGCAAGTTTATATCTTAGTACTAACATGGTGTATATGCTGAATATTGCAGTAATTCAAGTTTTATCACAGATTTCAAGGTCCTTGTTATTTCTCAGATGCTCAACAAAAGAAATCCCCAAAACTGTATGTTTCTCCAGTTTAAGCAGCAAGCACATTTATTGCATATGCTCCATCCTGATGTTCCATCACAATTGCAGATAAGGCTGCTGAGAATTCACTGTGATCCATACATGCTTACACACCTCAAGTCAAAGAACATTTGCAGGTACAAAATTTACCCAGCTAGCCCAAAAAATAAACCTTGAAGTTACCCAGAAGTGTCATTTGTATGCTCAAACTACCACTCTGCCAAGATTACAAAGGTAAACCCTATTACCCAAATTAAGCCATATTGGTACAGGCAGGCAGATCCAGCAACAGCTCAGATGATACCAGGATCTGACAGGAATGGATGAGTGCCCAAATTATTTCTACAAAAAGGGAAATGGAGCCTAAGCATGACCGGTACAAAGACACAAAGCAATACCACAGTACTGTAGATTCCTAATGCTGCAAGATGAACCCACATAGAAAACATTTGTGGCAGACACTAAGCATCCTGGGATGCACCTGATTAAAGTCTACATGCATGCAAAACATGCCATGTTTTAAGTATATCATCTACATAATAAATTGCTTAATAAAGTGCCAAAGAATACATTAAAAAAAAATCTAAGCAAAGCAAATTAAGTGCCTTTTATGTAGAGATAACCAACTGGAAAGGCTACTGACCATATGGCAAGACCTGAGCAAGAACTAACAAAATAGAAATTACTAGCTGACTCTGTGTAACAGATGGAGAGAAACATTCTTGAGTTTGGCTCAAAACAGGGCAAACAGGATGTAGTTTGGGAAAATCAGGAGAAATTTTTTTTTGGGGGGGGGAGGGGAAGCAGGGGGGATGACATAAAGGTTTTTTTTTTCATTGAGTCCAAACAAACATTATTTTGGGACTATTATTTCAAAAAAAGAAGGATCTTATTAAAAAAAAAAATTAAACTCTCTTGCATTTACATTCCTTGCACCTTGAAAAGGAAATGAAAGGAAAGCATCACATAACACCAGCTACAGAGATCACAAATAACCCTGACTCAGAATCAGCATTCAACTTAAAAACATTGGTACCTACAGAAAAGCAAGGTGCACCTCTGGCATTTCCCAATAACACCTGGGAGCGACATTAACATCTGCTTCAAACACACACTCTCTGAAAAACCTAAATTAATTCTAACCCTAAACTAATTCTGCAAAACTTCAAGGGTAGTTAGGCTATTTAATATATGATATCCCAGTTCAATACCATAATTTGGTGTTCAGAGGAGATGGTAAGCAGTTCTCCCATTATTTTTATTTACTTAACACAAATATCTGTTTTGATTTTAGATCTACTGAATCACCTCACATCCATATTTGAACTATTAATTGAAAGCATATTAATGTTACTACAAATTCACAGTCATTTGTTCCTGACATTCTTGTTCAACAGCTGACAGAATTCAGATAAATAAAGTGGTTGAGTTTTGCTTTTGATAAACCCCTAGATTTCACATCTTGGAAAGTATTCAAGAGAAGAGTCATGGTATGAATAAAAGCAGAGAAAAAGGCTCAAAAAAACCCCCACATTTTCTCTGTTAAAAGTACATGTCAAATGGCTAGTAAGAAACAGATGTAGCTGGTACCTTACACAAAACTGTAAAGGAAGAATAAAAAATTCAAAAAGCAGCTAGTTAGCTTCTCTTCTGAGTAAAATAATCAAATGTGGAGAAACTAAAAAATGTGGCTGAAAAGATGTGCTGCTGGTGTCAGGTCAGTTTTAACTCTTCTTACTGCGGTAGCCGACATCGCATGCTCCATTACTTTGTCCCTGCACTTCCAACCCTTATCTCTAAGACAAGCTAAAATGCCCAAGGAAAAGTAAACTGTGTAAGAACCAGTGCTTCAAGCTAAACTGGATGCTCTGATAGAAAACAGATCTCAAGTTGAAGCCTTGGAAAATGATAGCAATCTCCTAAGGGGAGAAGTAAGCATCACATTATAAGAACTCTAACATGGCTAAAAGGAAAAAAAACCCCAACCAATCAAAACTTGATTATACAAAAGCTTAGAAAGATTTATTTCAACCATAATGTGTATGCACATACCCTCAGTGCACCATTCTTCACATTAACTTAGAAGAGCAATCTAGAGTTGGGAAATACAAAAAAAATGTTGTCTAAGTATTGCCAGTGTTGTCCAAGTTTGCTCTTTCAGACAAACACATTGCAAGACTAATTACATATGTGACCACCTATTTTCTACAGGACCCATGTAAAATTCACTGTATGATCCAAATGTAAACTAAAAATTCATATCAGATCAGCTAGTTAATATTGACTTAAATCATAAAATACATTCCTGAGTAGAGCCATGACTACATTAATCACTAGCTATATCCACAGCAAGATCACAGCCTTAACTTTTAAGAGGCTCACATTTTCCACACACTTAGCTTTTGTTTTTTCACTTTTCTATTCTACATAGCACAGAAAATCCCCTCATCACATACAAAGCTTTTCACTTTAAAGGGGGTGATGGAACATACTGCAGCAAAACAGGAGGAAAATGACACATCTTGCTCTCACACTTATCTACAGAGAGTAGCTATTCATGAGTGCCTCACTCCTGTAACTTCCTCTGCATCATGAGCAGCATGGCACAGCCTGTACTCCACACAAGTAAATCCCCTTTTCCAGCACCACAAACTCCTTACAAAACAAAAGTTGCCCTTGTGTGCCCTCCAACTGTGCATGTTCTTCCAAGATTCTCACCAATATCTGAATAGAGAGGCCAACAGTAATTGCAAATAGTCAAAACGTCGAAAGTATTGTTAATCTTTTCAGAAGAATTAGGCCTATAAAAATAAAATCAAGACTATTCCCCATTTACAACCACTTGGCAAAACATAAAAGAAATAAATTCGGCCTAATTTTGTGTTTCTGTCATCATTTGTCCCAAGACTCACTTGCTTTGTTTGCTTCTTATATTGGTGGGTCTTGGTGGGATTTGATTTGTTGGTTCACAGTAAGTTGAAAAGATATCAAGACTGTCAAATTCAAAACCAAACAGAAATATGCACAGAAAATTTTAAGAAACTGCAGAGTAAAAATACTATGCAAATATGGAATTAAATAGCATAAATAAATAACAGAGTGTAACGGAGTGTAATGGAGTGTAAGAAAGGCTCCAGAAGCTACCAGCCTTACCAAGGAAAGTTCCCTTTGAAGAACACAGCATTATTCTGTTACCACATTGACTCCAATTAAATTGACATTTAGAAAACTGCATTTAGTGACTACTGGGCACTCAATAAAATTAGCCTTTACCAAACAAGCATAGTAGCTTTACCATAATTACATATGTCCTAGGTTACAGAATGTAACTTACACATACATGTTTGTATTTCACTACAATATTCAGTAACAATAGTAACAAGTAACAAGCACAAAGAGAATTTCCCAGTAAGTACAGAATCTTTTAAAAATAACATGGATTAGATATGGTTTGCCAAACAAAA